ATATATGTGAGCCAGAAAGCGTTAATCATGGTATATATCGCCATATTGGACAGAGATCAAAATCCAATCTAGCAGCACAATACACGACTTCATGTCGCATGTGTTAGTTTAGACCTTTTAGAAACATCTGTAGAAAATCTGCTTCAATGGTCTCCTCGATCTCCAGACCTTTCCCCCATCGAACATGTATGGAAAGAAGGGTTTCAAAATTCACGCGCAAAGTTTGTAGGCTCTACGAAACCAAATTCAGATAGCCTGGAATACAATACACCAAGAAGACGTCAATCAGAGGAGCTTCAACACATTATTAACATTAAAGTGGGATATCTCAGCTATTTTGCGAAATTTCTGGTTAAAATTTTAATTACTATTTATTTATCAGTGGACCTAAAACTTGTAAAAGTATGATCAAAATTACAGCATTCCTAGACGGTGATGCATTTTCTATGTCACTTAGTATATTACACTGATACAGTTATTGGCTGTGTATGTATCTTTCTGCGAATTGATGCAGGCTGTTCATATACGAGTATTTCAACTTCAGAAAACTTCAGGTAATTTTGTATACCAGCGAAAACGGTTAATATACTATACAAAATCTTGCGTAAACTTTGACACTCGTTATAAAATAATAATAATAATAATGATAATAATAATAATAATAATTAATAATAGTAATGATAAATATTTAAAGCTGTGAAATAAAGAGAATAATAATAATAATACCTATGCCTTTTATATTTGTAATAGCATTACAGGAGGCAAGATGTTTGTCTTTGAGTTCAAACGGAGATTTTGACTACTACTAAACATTTCAATCTGATCAATGTTATTATTGGCTGCTTCCAAGTGATTACTCCTAAATCAGTATCGTTTGCAAAAAATTGTATGCAGCATGAAGTTACCACTGTTTCAGGATCTGAGATATACAGGGTGTTTCAGTTTATTGTTGCATAACTTTAAGATTCGATAGAACTTTTAAAATGAATGCTTAAAGTCTATATAAACATGGGTCGAAAAATGCGTGGCTTCCGAAATATAGGGTGTTTAAATTTACTTTTTAAAATAGTTTTTTTTAAATATTTCGAACAATATTTGATGTATAATAGTGAAAATTGGTATACAAGGGTTTTTTTGTCCGACAAAACGAACCATGGGAATAGTTTTACTGTAGCCGCTAGAGGGCGCTCTCTACTGTACAAGTAGTGTATTAAATTGACCGAAAATTTTTTCTTAGTGCAATTTTTTGCTTTTTGAATAAAGAAACTGATTCTTCACACTTTTCAACATAAAAAAGTTTTCGTTATAGTTAGCCGTTTTTGAGATATTTCGGTTTTTAAGGTTCGATGCATTTTTAATTATTTATGGGAAAATAATATTTTTTTTACATTTTCGATTTGGGCATTACAAGTAATTAAGATCATCGTTTAGATTGTGTTTTTAAACATAGCAATAATGCCTAACTCCAAATAAACACAAAAAAACAGAATATTAATTTGTTTAATTTTCCAATATTATTTTTAACAAACTAAATTAATTATTTACAACTAAAATGCTATTGGATAGTTAGGACAAACATACAAAATCTAAAGTAGTTGCTCGAAATGTAAACCCAATTGTTCAATACACAATTCACATCTACGAATGATCGAACGTGGTATAGCATTATTCAAATAAGGCCTTATTTCATCACATGCATTCCTGATTCTGTCTATTAGTATATCTCTTGTGGTTACGGGAGTCTGGTACACTTTTTCTTTTAAAAATCCCCACACAAATAAATCTAATGGATTTAGGTCAGGGGATCGTGGAGGCCAGGCGACTGGTCCTCCACGGCCGATCCATCTTTCTGGATAATTTTCGTCCAGCCAGTTTCTAACTATTCTCGAATAATGAGCTGGACAACCATCAAGCTGGAACCAGGCCAATCTTCTTAAATCTAACATAACATCATTCCACATATTTGCATGTTCAGCCTTTAAAAATTCCAAAAAGGTCGCAGCATTTAACCTTGCAGGCAAAAGGTAGGGTCCAAATAGTCAATTACGGTAGATACCAATCCACACGTTCACACTAAATTCATGCTGAAAATTTTTTTCCCGAACTGCATGCGGTTTTTCATGCGACCAAATACTATATGTTGATTATGAAAATTTACCACTGCACGTCTAGTGAAGCATGACTCATCGGTCCATAAAACGTTACTTAAAAACTCCCTATTATTATCAGTTCTATCAAGAATCCACTGACAAAATGTGATTCTTCGTTCTCCGTCCCCTGGATGTAGTCCTTGCACTGGTTGCAAATGGTAAAGAAGTCAAAACGGAATTTTTGAATACGTAAATTGCTTCATCTGGTGACTGGAACCTTTGATCACGCAGTCTGCTTTTAATTTTCGGGAAGGTAAAGAAATCGATAGGACTTAGATCGGGACTATATGGAGGATTGTCCAATAATTCCACGTTTTCTTCCGTTAAATACTGCCTTGTTTTTTGGGCTGTGTGCGAGCTTGCATTGTCTAGGTGGAGGATGATTCTTCTTTCGAGGTTCATTTTCCGAAGCTCGGTGATAACTTTTGGCAAACAAATGGTTGGATACCAATCCGCAGTGACAGTTCATTGCTCATTAAGAGGAATTGTTGCAATATGATCCGATTTTGTCACAAATGTCACGACCATCTTTTTCGAAGCACTTCGAGAGGTTAGATTCAGTACTGACGTTCGATCCGCGCAGCCTACTATGTTCCTATATACAAAACTTAAAAGACCTCCCTCGTATCAGCACACCTCCAGTCACTGGTCTCAAAAATTGAAATAAATGCTTCATTTATTTCATGCGGATCTGATGAACTGCCTCCTGGGAGTTATACTGTTGATTTTTCGATTTTCTGCATTATGACCACTCCGGAAATTTCCATATCATTATTCAATCCATAACTTCGGCGCGAAAGTGAAAAAGGTAAAAGTAATCAATCTGAAAGCGAAGATTGGGAGGTTTCATCCATTAAAAATACACGGAGACGTCTCAACTGCTGGCACGAGCTACGAAAACTAGAAAATTCCATCTGAACTGCTCGCAAACTGGCATTTCCTCTAGATGGAAATGCAATATCGCTTCAATTTCCGCATTATAAATTTACCTCGTCGGAAGATGGACGACAAAATTTAAGGGAATCTTAAAGCATATACACAAGATGTCCCTCCAAGAACTGCATCGTTTCAATCCGCCGAGCAAGCGGAAGCCTAAATCCCTGGACTGCTGCTGCTTAAAGAAACTTTGTTAATCTGATTTTTGAACTGCTTGAGGTTAGTAGAACTGGAAAAGGCCTCCTCATGTAGATTGTTTCACAATCTTTATACCCTACGAACAAAGGAGCGGTCGTATCGGCCAGTTCTGGATGTACGAAGTTCGACACGGTTAGGCTGCGGGGCCGAAGTCAGGCGGGTTTGTCTGGCGGCATTATGTTAAACATTTGGGGTTTTGGCAACGCTGATGAGGGCAATTTGCTAAAATATTTTCACTTCCGTTTATGCTTGTTTATTTTAAATGAGGCACCTTATCCAGTCACAGTGTATTACTAGTGACAAAAGCGTGCGAAAAATCGCGACACATTCTAAAGACGGGTCCACACTATGTAACAAAACATGTTAAATAACAAAGTTTTGTAACTTGTTACAGAATTTTAGATAAAAAAGTTATAAAACCACTTGCTAAGAATGCCATCGTAACTGCTAATCTTTCTCTTACTGGAATTGCATCTCGAAATGTTGTGTCTTTCCTGCCTATTTTATGGCCGATTTCATTTATAAGATAGTCAAAATCAGAACTTGTCATTCTTAAGAAGTTTTTAAAACTGCCATCACATTTAATGTCTCCTGTCGATGGGTCTAGGTCATCTCTTTTCAGATCAGTTAAAAGAGCTGTACCACTATACAGGGTGTCCGCAAAGTTGGGGTTTTCCTTTACACGACGTGTAGATCTTGAAAACATAAGCAATTTTTCCTAGTACCATATACATCAATGTCTTAGGGGAACCGAGATAAAGGGCTCTACAACATCAAAAATATCTGAATACCGTCCTGTAGCCGCGATCCGCCGCGATATCCCAGACTGGTACCGGCTACAAGCTGAACCCGACGACAGAACTGGGTTGGGGGTCGGGGTCAGTGTGTCAGGTCAGTATGCAACCTTCAACCGACGGTAAAGGGTCACGCGTATAGAGGTAAAGAACCCGTATAATCGATTGCGTTTCAAAAAAAAAAATAATAATAATGGCACACTCATACACCAATAATGAACTCGTTGATATGTTGTTAATTTATTGCGAATGTCTTCAAAATGCTAGAGAATCGTCGCGAGTGTATGCAGATCGTTTCCCTAGACGACATCATCCAAGGCCCCGCAGATTTGTGTACCTGGTCCAGACAGTCAGGGATACGGGCCATTTAGAGGAATTTCGAGGTGGGCACAGTGGGAGGCCTAGACAACCACGAATGGTGCAAGTTGAGGAAGAACTACTGAATCGCGTAGACGAGAATCCCTCAACAAGCACTAGAGACGTGGCTAGAGAAGTGCAAGTATCAAAAACTAAAGTGTGGCAAACGTCCAACGTGTACAAGCCCTTCAACCTGACGATTTTCCAGCAAGAGTGCGGTTTTGTGAGTGGTTGTTGCATCAACATGACAATAATCCGGACTTTTTGAAGTGCATATTGGTGACAGACGAATCTACGTTCACGCGTAATGGGGTGAATAACTTTCGATTTCAGGCAGAGACGTACATAGCCCTTCTCTTCAACTAGAGAGTGAGTACTTTTTCCTTTATTTTTTTTACTTGGTCGCCCTCGTTTCACTACACATTACCTTTGTTATTTCAAGGGTAGTTGTTTCTGAAAAGGAAAAGCTCAACTTTGCGGACACCCTGTATATTTCTCGAGCTTTTAATGAAGGCCGCACCCAAAATCTTCGCTTTACACGTCGGTGTCGCCTGCACAAAATTACGCAAGCTGCTGCTGCCATTATGGCATCCTCTACGTTTGACGACATTTCACATACTACCACCTACCAGCTAAAATGCTGCGAAAATTATGCGCACTTTTTTGTTTTGTATTTTGTTATATAGTCTGGATGCTTGTGCTATGTTATAACAAGTTACACAACAAAGTTGTACAGCAAATTTGTTGTACAACTTTGTCATTAACATATTTTGTTACATAGTGTTGACCTGTCTTTACAGTTACCTTTAAAAAATAGCGCAATTTTTAGATTTTTGGATCATTTTTAAACTAACAATGTTTCCATAAACTTCACTTTAAAGTTGATATTTTCGAGATATAAGCGTTTCGACAGATTTAGGGTCATATCGTCAATCGTTCCTAAAATTGTAGGACGCCTTTATGGCCTTGATTTTCACAGTTTTCTACTGTTCCGTGTCAGCGCTCTATTTTGAGGTTATGTTACAAATATCTATTTGAAAAAAATTGTTCATGCTTTTGATTTATATCTCTGTTATATCAGCCTGAAATTTCCAGCAATTCAAAAAGAAAACATAGCCTCACAATAGGAGATCGCTGATGCTGACAAGGAACAGTAGAAATATAGAAATACCGCAGCCTTTCTGAAGGAGAGAAAATACTATGAAAATCAAGGCCATAAAGGCGTCCTACAATTGTAGGAACGACTGACGATACGACCCTAAGTATTTGAAAAATTGCGAAATATGCTAAAAAACTACTTTCCAAAGTTCAAGTAATAAAATTCGGACGCATTTCAGAAGATATTGTTATTGTACACATTTGTTGCTTCCTACGTTACTGGCGAGGAAGTGTAAAAGTCATGTCACTCCCCCCCCGTCAGTCTGTCAGTTTGTCGGTCTGTTTATCTGGCTCGTCGATAACTTTGGAAGTACCGCTCGGATTTCAGGAAATTTTTACACGAGGTTCATGTCAATAACAAAAAAGCTTTGTAGTTTCTGAAAATCGCTCCATTCGCGGTGGAGAAAAAGGCGTAAAACGTTTTTGTCGTTTCAGATGTTCTTTATCATTTTCAGGAAAATTTTTGCAGGGATGTTAGAGGTTGTAGGGGGTGAGAAGAGTATATGTAATTTTTTGCTGCTTACATTTTATACGTTTCAAACCACGCTAGTTCTACGCACCTAATAATAATGGGTGATTTTTTTGCTAGTATCTTTTTGGCAACACTGTTTTTGACAGATGACGCGTGAATCGTGCCTTGTGTCATTGTCAAACTTGTTCAGTTTGGTCTATAATTTAACCATGAATCGACATGAACGAACAACGCTTGCAAATTATTGAATTTTACTATCAAAATTCATGCTCGGGCGACGAAGCTCATTTCTGGTTGAATGGGTACGTTAACTGCCGCATCAGGAGTAAAGACCAGCCAGAAGCATTGCAAGAGCTACCAATGCATCCCGAAAGAATCACTGTTTGGTGTGGATTATGGGCTAGTGGCATCATCGGGCCGTACTTCTTCAAAGACGACAATGGCCGGAACGTAACTGTGAATGGCGAGCGCTACCGTACGATGATAAACTTTTTTTTTGCCCAAAATGGAAGAGCTGGACTTGGCTGACATGTGGTTTCAACAAGATGGTGCCACATGCCACACCGCACTCGAAACAATGGCCCTATTCGGTGAACAGTTTATCTCACGTTTTGGGCCCGTCAATTGGCCGCCTAGATCGTGTGATTTAACGCCGTTAGACTATTTCTTGTGGGGCCATGTTAAGGCTAATATCTACAGGGATAAACCAGCAACGAGTGACGCACTGGAAGCCAATATTGAAGCATTTATTCGTGAGATATCGGCCGATATGTTGGAGAGAGTGTGCCAAAATTGGACCTTGCGCATGGGCCATCTAAAGCGGAACATTAAATCGTATCGACCGTTCTATCGACTCAAATAAAGATTTAATCATTTTTTCAAATTTTTTGTGTTTTTTTTTGAAAATCAAATCCCATACCTCTTAAAAAGTCACCCGTTACATGTACAGATTACAGAAGAAAGAGATTGGCTTGCCAGCCTTAACGTCACCGTGACCTGAATGAGTCTATTGTGACCCCCATATATACTTTCTTAAGCACTGTGTCCAGCCAAATAAGTAGATTCACTCTACACTCTCTACGCCTTCGTTGGAGGTACCAAAGAAAATGGACGCGTCAAGTCATTTCAAAAAGGGAAATCGAATCGTGATTTAGGCTGGTTTACTTAGGTACGATGAATCTTCGACCTCTGCATATATCAACTAGGTTCTTATTCAGAAAGAGGTTGTGACCATAGTGCCCTATTAGAGTTTTTCAATTAGGATTCACTGTCAACAAGACGGAACATATTTGCTTTGTCGTTTTTGTATGGCCTCATTCGCAATAAAAACAATAAAATTGACTGTCAAAATTTACTTGAAAAAATATGTTTCCGCGTTCCAAGGCTAGGGAGTCGACAACAAACGGCATTCTATTGTCAAGCTGGCCGTACAAATGTTATGACAAAATCGCCAATTAATCTCATGTGCTGCGTGATGAACAGTGTTACTGAATCGTGTGATATTTACAGTGACAGTTGTGCATCGATTATTAACTGCTATAGATCATCCAATCTTATTTAGAATGTGTGAGACTATAGATTTAAGTCCAAGAACCATGTATCTTTAATTGTTATTTCTTTTAGCGTTTCCTGTAATTGGGTTTCACCTGTTGGAAATAAATAAAATAAATAAATAAAATAAATAAAATAAATAAAATAAATAAAATAAATAAAATAAATAAAATAAATAAAATAAATAAAATAAATAAAATAAATAAAATAAATAAAATAAATAAAATAAATAAAATAAATAAAATAAATAAAATAAATAAAATAAATAAAATAAATAAAATGAATAAAATGAATAAAATGAATAAAATGAATAAAATGAATAAAATGAATAAAATGAATAAAATGAATAAAATGAATAAAATGAATAAAATGAATAAAATGAATAAAATGAATAAAATTAATAAAATGAATAAATGAATAAAATGATAAATGAATAAAGAATAAAATGATAAAATGAATAAATGAATAAAATGATAAATGATAAAATGAATAAATGAATAAAATGAATAAATGAATAAAATGAATAAATGATAAAATGATAAAATGATAAAATGAATAAAATGAATATGATAAAATGAATACAATGAATAAAATGAATAAATGAATAATGAATAAAATGAATAAAATGAATAAAATGAATAAAATGAATAAAATGAATAAAATGAATAAAATGAATAAAATGAATAAAATGAATAAAATGAATAAATAATGAATAAATAGATAAATAGAATAAATAGAATAAATAGAATAAATAGAATGAATAGAATGCATAAATGAATAATGATAAAAAATGAATAAAAATGAATAAAATGAATAAATGAATAAAATGAATAAAATGAATAAAATGAATAAAATGAATAAAATGAATAAAATGAATAAAATGAATAAATGAATAAAATGACTAAAATGATAATAATGAATAAAATGAATAAAATGAATAAATAAATAAAAGAAATAAATAAATAAAATAATAAAAAATAAAATAAATAAAATAAATAAAATAAATAAAATAAATAAATAAATAAAAAAAAAATAATAAATAAAAAATAAAATAAATAAATGAATAAAATGAATAAAATGAATAAAATGAATAAAATGAATAAAATGAATAAAATAAATAAAATAATAAATAAATAAAATAAATAAAATGAATAAAATGAATAAAATGAATAAAATAAATAAATAAATAAAAATAAATAAAATAAATAAATAAATAAAAATACAATAAATAAAATAATAAAATAAATAAAATAACAATAAATAAATAAATAAAATAATAAATGAATATAAAATAATAATAAATAAAATAAATAAAATAAATAAAATAAATAAAATAAATAAAATAAATAAAATAAATAAATAAATAAAATAAATTAAAATAAAACTAAATAAAATAAATAAATATTCGGGGTGTTACTTAATGATATGCGAATATTTAATGATGTGCATCCACACGACCATATTAATGTAGTTTGCTTCAAAAACTATAGTCCAAAAATGTTTCCTTAAAAACACTTGGGGTGTTGAATTTTTAGGAAAAAATGGAAATCAATTAATATTTTCAGAACCGCCTCAGATATTCGCTGATATTGGTACGTAGTAAAAGTTCATAAAGTTGCATATTTTTCAATGCAAAATAATTTTAGCTTTAACAGTGGCGTGCATACGGGTATCGACTTCGATATTTAAAAAAAAATTGGTACGCTAATGGATTTTTCCAAATAAAAATTATGCTTAAATTCCCGTACAATTTGAAACAAACTAACTTGCAAAATTATTATTAATCTAATTGGAAAAATTAAACACACTAGGGGTAATGAACAACAACAACTGACCAAATAAACATAACAACGAAATGATTATAAAATTGTTGAAAATGGCCCCCTTCACTTAGTATGCATGCTTCCGCCCTCCTTCTCGTGGAATTGCGCAATCGTTGAAATATCCCTGGAGTGTTTTTTATTCTATCACAAGCTGCAACTATTCTTTCTCTTAATTCCTCTACAGTGTACATTGGACTTGTGTACACTAGTGTCTCAAGATAGCTCCACAAAAAGAAATCTAAACTATTGAGGTCTGTGGACCTTGGTGGCCATTCTTGGGGCCCACCGTGGCGAATTCAACGATTTGGATAAACAGTTTGTAGATAATCACGAACCGCTACACTGAAATGCGCTGGGGCACCATCATGCATGTACCACATATTGTTTCTTATTATTAACGGAACATCAAGCAGCAAAGGCAACTGTTGTTGAAGAAAATTGAGATAAGTCTGTCCGTCAAGTCGTCCTGGCAAGAAGAATGGGCCAAACAAGTGGTTGCCAATAGTTCCTGCGCATCCGTTAACCGAAAATTGGTTCTAACATGGATAAAGCCGCAAGGTAGTACCTTAGATGGAACACGGTCTAGAAAAAAAAGAGGAGGTTTTAGTGAGTGAGAGCCTCACACTGTAGCAATGCATTGTCGAGTCGCCCAGCCGGCAATGCGCCGTTGCGTGCGGTAGGTACATTTCCTTCTCTCTATAAAAAAAACGAAAATTGGTGTTGGAATTAGGTTTCGGTTGCGGCATAGGGATTTTCTTCTGCCCACAAATGATTATTGTGGAAGTTCTTAATGGCATTTCGAGAAAAATTAGCTTCGTCCATGAACAGAATCATTGATTCAAAATGCGGATTTTGTGTAATTTTTTGAAGATACCACTGACAAAAGGAAAATCAATGGGAAGTAATGCCTGTACTCTTAAAATATGGTTAAGATATAACAAAAAGTCCACTAAAATGTTCCAAACAATTTGATGGAAATTATTTAAGTGTCTAGCGACCTTCCTCGTATTCGTTTCAGGTTGTCGACTTCGTGCAGCACTACTTCCTCAATTTCAGGTGTACTCACACTTAGAGGTCTACCTTCAGATGTTCCTTTCCGGACAGAACCAGTTTCAACAAGACGACGATGAATATTAAAAAAGGTTCCACTATCTGGCAAAGCACGATCGGTATATCTCTGGTGATAAATCCGTCTGGCTTGCTCACCATATATACGTAATGCATTTCCGCCATTTCTGCATTTGAATAACTCACCATTATTAACAAGATTCTAAAAACTAGATAATGAAAAAGAAGTCACAGCGAACAGATTTGACTAACAGAGGCTTGTCAGATGTCAAAAGCTAGTGACATAGTCCAGAGCAGCTAGGTATTTATTGCCAAATTGCATTCGTCAATTGTTACATTTCTCGGACAATAGAATGGTTTTTATTTTTTTACTCAAAAATCACGCATCGAAAGAAGACAATTCAAGAGAGGTTATTTGTTTTAAATTGAACGGGGAATTCCAAAATAATTTAATTTTGTCAAAAAATCATTGGCATACCATTTTTTTCTTAAAAAATATCGAAGTCAATACCCGTACATACGCCACTGTTAAAGCTAAAAATTATTTTTGCATTGAAAAATATCCAACTCTATTAATTTTCACTACGTACTAAATACCAGCGAAATATCTGAAGCGGTTCTGAAAATATTAAATAATTTCCATTTTTTCCCTAAAACTTCAACACTCCGAGTTTTTCTAAGGAAATATTTTTGGACCATACTTTATAAAGCAAACTAACATTAATTTTTATGTAGATTCACACCCTTAAATATTCGCATATCATTAAGGAACACCCTGTTTAAAACAAACACATTATACCGACCCTTCTGACATATTCGTCAACATTTTACTCCAACTTCATGTATATGACATGAGAATGTACCCCGTTTGAGGTTATTATTAAAAAAAAGCTCCCTATGAATTACTCGGCACTTTCACGTCCGAATGATCTTTTGTCCTCGACAAGCAGGGTCGCCACAAAAAATAAAGCTAAGCTGAAAACGTAATTTTACAGCTACCACTGCGAAACACGAACCTTCTCTGTGAAATTTTAATTTACGCCTCCAGCTTTAAGAGCTTTACTTTTTATTGCACCATGAAAGAGTACGTCAGCTATAGATGATGAATTTTGTTTTTTTTTAATAAAGCCAACCTCAAAGTGGGATAGTACAAGCAACTCGACAAGGGTGAACACAGAACATTTTTTTCACTACTAACCGGAGAAAAAAATTTCTATAGATACCTCGTTTGAAAAGGCATGGAATACGAGAAAAAAACACTAGGTTTAGGTATGGGCAATGGTTAATAAATCTGAAAGGGCATCAAGAGACTCGTTGAATAGATTTTTTTGCTAGTATCTTTTTGGCAACACTGTTTTTGACAGATGACGCGTGAATCGTGTCTTGTGTCATTGTCAAACTTGTTCAGTTTGGTCTATAATTTAACCATGAATCGACTTACGAACGAACAACGCTTGCAAATTATTGAATTTTACTATCAAAATTCATGCTCGGTTAAGACAGTGCATCGAGCACTGCTTCCAATTTATGGGGCCGACTGAGGGAGCTATTCGGAAGCTTGTGACTAAATTTCGAACCCAGTTTACATTATTGGACATTAAACCACCAACACGCAGACGTAGAGTGAGGACTGAAGAAAATATTGCGGCTGTATCCGCCAGTGTTAGTGATCACCGTGAAATGTCGATTCGCCGCCGTTCGCAGCAATTGGGCCACTACGTGGAAAATATTTTGCGACAAGATTTGGGTGCAAAACCTTATAAGATACAACTGGTGCAAGAATTGAAGCCACATGACCTCCCACAACGTTTCCAATTTGGTGAATGGGCGCTGGCAAAGTTGGAGGAAGATCCAAATTTTTATCGATAAATTGTGTTCAGCGACGAAGCTGATTTCTGGTTGAATGGGTACGTTAACAAGCAAAATTGCCGCATCTGGAGTGAAGACCAGCCAGAAGCATTGCAAGAGCTACCAATGCATCCGGGAAAAATCACTGTTTGATGTGGATTATGGGCCGGTGGCATCATCGGGTCGTACTTCTTCAAAGACGACAATGGCCGGAACGTAACTGTGAATGGCGAGCGCTACCGTACGATGATAACAAACTTTTTTTTGCCCAAAACGGAAGAGCTGGACTTGGCTGACATGTGGTTTCAACAAGAAGGTGCCACATGCCACACCGCACACGAAACAATGGCCCTATTGAGAGGCGAGTTCGGTGAACAGTTTATCTCACTTTTGGGGCCTAGATCGTGTGATTTAACACCGTTGGACTATTTCTTGTGGGGCCATGTTAAGGCTAATGTCTACAGGGATAAACCAGCAACGATTGACGCACTGGAAGCCAATATTGAAGCATTTATTCGTGAGATACCGGCCGATATGTTGGAGAGAGTGTGCCAAAATTGGACCTTGCGCATGGGCCATCTAAAGCGGAGCCGCGGCCAACATTTACATGAAATAATCTTTAAACATTAAATTATATCGACCGTTCTATCGACTCAAATAAAGATTTAATTGTTTTTTCAAATTTTTTGTGTTTTTTAAAATCAAATCCTATACCTCTTAAAAAATCATTCGTTAGAGCTGAAAATAATTTTAGGTTGTAGCACTTATCCCTGCCTACAACTTTTATGTTGAACTTTTTTCTGTACTCTAATAATAGTAACGAAAGTATTGAGCTTTGACACACTATTTTGACTGAATACGTATCTGGTCATTGCATTGTTCAACAATCCTACTATTTTTTCGGCGTACGCAAAGCATCTTTGTATGTAAATTGTATGAATAGATTAAATCTTCAACCTATTGAGCTTACACGAGAAGGATAAAGTCTTTGTTTTCTGTAACGGGAAAAAAGTTTGACATATTATCTCTATTGGCATGTATATTATTCACGAAAAAATAATAGATTTTGGCTTTTGGTTTTCTGTCAATACAACCTCAAGCTAAAATCTGGTACTTTTTTCCCTGTATAATAAATAACTGTTCATACTCCAAGAAAACAACAAGCCTTCTCCGATAACACGGCCATTAGAGGTAAAGGCAAACCAACCCCTGCTCCAAAAACATTCAGTATAAAACATCGACTCGCCCCTCCACTATAGGGAGACGTATGGTCGCGTTACGAACCAACCCTGATACAATTTAGGACGGTTTTTGTTCACGTGAATTATTAAACTACTCGCGCTGCCTTGCAGAACAGCTCAAAACTTTATTGCTCTTGAACCCAACATAGTCCAATCCTCAAGGCATTCGAAGTCAGAATAACTAACGAGGAGTCTCGAAATCGAAATGTAGTAGTTAATAATAACGTGTGTCCCAAAATTCATTGGCTTTAATTAACAAGCATAAAATAATATTTTAAACAATAGTTTGTTTAGATATTGAATTTTTCGCTTTAAGATGTCGTATAAATTAGAAATAAGAAAAAGTATCTACAGGTTGGTTGGGCGGCTACCCACACCTGAAATCTGTCGAATATTCCAGACAGAAACATTTCACGCAGAAAATAATCATTTCCATTGGCAAAGTGTATCCGCCTCAGTTGACGACAGCATGTATACGACGGAGTTGCACTCGAGAGTATTTGGGGCACTTAAGTCTCTTTTGATATTTAACCCTTTCACCACTGAATATGTTTTTAATAAATTTTCGTTTCAAATATACATATTTTTTAGTAAAATAGTGACTATAATGAAAGATATTTGCAATAAATTCCTTGAAAATATTCTGCTTATCCTGAAAATGTCCTGGGACGATATGTATCACTAGTAGATATGGTTAGGACAGTGTGTCCCTATAGTGGTGAAAATAACATGCATGTTGTAATAAAATAACATTGATTATTTTATTTTTATGAATGATATAACAGTTGTTTCATAGTGGAATGTTGCAACACAAACTGTTTTCGTTCTTGTCTCTTTGTTATTTCTGGAACATTGCTGACATCTTCTCCGAGAAGGACATTCAGATGGTAAGTGATCACCAACATTGACCATTGACTTTTGTCGCTTTGATCTAGTGCCACATTTTCCGCTGAGACGGCGCTTAATACCTGCATTTGCCGTACCTGCTTCATTCATTTGCTCGGCTAACGGTACTAAAAATGTAATGTGTAATTTTTTCATGTATTATCTCTTGATATATGATCCAAGAGTTTACAACTGCAGTCATACAGGTAAGCAATTTGTAAAACACCTTTCGCCACCACTTTGCTGACTTGCGGTCCAGGTCGTAGGTGGAGACTTTCTGATCCGCTAAATCTACCGCTCCCATAAATTTGTTATAAAACTCTACAAGGCTTGGGCACTCAATTTCTGTTTTCTCTCCACTGACGAGTGTTCTTTTCACAGAGCTCATCTCGTTCGAATGACAATTAGCCATAGCAAAAACGTCTTTTGTGTCCTTCCATTTAGTTACGATAATACCTTTATTACAATTCACAGTTTCCTTTTTGCATCTTTGCCACAGTGAATTATGGAGTGTTCTTTCGATTTGTCATATAAGTGCCAACACATGCGAATGGTAAATTTGTCATCAAATGAACACTTGTGAAAAATCCATCTATACAGATGCATACATCTTGTGATTGAATGGTCCCTGTTAGCTTTTTTACTACCCTTTCTCCAAGGGTGCCATCTACCTTCTCGACATCTTTACCAGAATATATGAAGTCGTAAACATATCCGGTTTTGGAATCGCATCTTTGCCGCAGCTTGTTTCCCCTTTTTATCGGATTCATGGGAAGATACTGTTTTAGACTAGATCGTCCTTTGAATTTAGTCATCGTTTCATCATGCGAACATTCAATTCTGGCTTTCTGGAACCTCTTCTTCAAACATTCAACTAATTCATCCAAGTAATAAGTTTTGGATGATGATTCAGGCTTATTCGGTTTATTATACTACATTTTGCATCTATCTCTACTTATTGCTTTTTTTATGACTCAGTTTGATAGAAATTCATTGGATGACCAATAATTGTAGAACTTGGGAACGCGATTATAACTCATTACAAGGGTACATCCAAGGACAAGCAGTATCTCATGTAGATCAGCTTTTGATTTTTGGAAATTGACGACCAAGTGAACTCCTGAGCAATTTTTTCTAGTTCCTTTTGTGTTAGAAAACGTCGGCTCATCCTTAAGAATAGAGAAAATTCATTTGCTGCACAGAGGTTAGAGAGATTGGTTGTAATTTAAGATAACTAGTTAGTGTTTAAATAAATTTGTTCATTAAACGAAATCCGATAAATAGTGTGTGTCTTCTGCCTTTGTGCTGAAAAAAATACTCATGTCACCAAGCAATCCAATGGACGTTCTCAAAATGTTACTGTTTAGATGCAAAATAAGTTTGTTTCAGAATACCGTGTAGCGAGAGTGGAAGTTGAGAGGGTTTTATTTCCATTTTTTGGGCAATATGGCATAATGATGACCATGTCCAGTCACTATTAGTATAAATCAGTAATTCATCAACCCAGCCTATTTTTTGATTTTGTATCAAATTTGTTCCAATATATGTTTTGTTTTATTTTTTTGAATGCAGTAATTGTTTCATTATGTTAAAAAGATTTAAGATGAATCGGTGAAAACATTTTTTCTTCAAATTTGTTTCTACCTTTTAGTAATATTTCAATTATAAATTTGTCAATCAATTTTTACCGGCTCATCTTAAGTCGTTTCAATACATAAACAAAAGTTACTTGAAACGTACAGGGTGTAAACATTATGGTAGTCATTATTGAAATGGGTAATGGGGGGGGGGGGCAGAACGATATGACCCATGGTCACAAAGTCAATAGATTTTTGCCTAAATGGCTTTATAATTTACAACTTTAAGTTCTATATATCGACCTCAATCACCACAATCTTACTAATTTTTATAATCTGATCTAAAAAGTTTTCAAATTGGGTAATTAACAAATAAATGGCATTAAGTTTTTCTAAGTTAAGCCAAAATTTGTAGTCAGTAAGTAAGTTTCATTAAATTTAATACCTACAACACATATGACAACAGCGCGTCGGTCATCATCACCCTTATCGAACCGGCAATCGATTGCAAACGGTAACAGTGGTTAGTTATCAACAGGCCTAGCTGGGTGACATTTCAAAAACTGGAAAGGACGGTTACCCTCTCCCCTCTATGCGCAGAGGCCCTTTCAGGTCAATTGCATATATGAAATTTTCGTTTTTAAATATTATATCATATCGTCGACATTCTATTTTTTATCTCAGTACATGATGTAGAAAAGCCCAAAGTACAGGGTGTCAAAAAAATCGGTTTTTCCTAAATAGCTTGATAATCTTTTTGTAGAATTCGGTCAAATTCAGAAGTGGGATTAAGCGTAGTAAGGAGATGACGTAGCCCCAATTAAATTGAAATTATCAAGTCCAGTGGGGTACCAGAAAAATATATTGCAAAATAAAAAAATGTGCGCTACTGGCTTTCTTCAGTTTTATATTTTTTCTTGTTTTGGGTTTTTTTATATCTCGCTTTGTTTGCGAGATAAAAAATAAAAAAACACTTTATTGAATGTTTTTGATAATTAAGTTTCACGAAAGTCGTCTTTCGAATTTTTTTAATCAGATTTTACCTGCTTTGGATTAAAAAAAGTAAACATAAAATATTTACATAACGTTATTTATTGTTGCAATGTTTAAAAAATCGAACCGGCAGAACGTCTTCTTAAAACTACAATTAAACATTTATTTCAATGAAAACATGTAACAGTAAATAACACGAGATTTACAATAGTTGTTGAAAATGCCCTCCTTCAACCTCAATGCAAGCACTATCTCGAATTAACATTGATTGTAGAACTCGTTGAAATATTTTCAGCGTTTGTCTTATCTGATCACATGAATGTCGTATCCGTTGGGTTAATTCTTCTTCCGTGTTGACTGGAGTTCCGTAAACGAGGGACTTTCAATACCCCCAAAGAAAAAATCTAACGGATTTAAATCCGGTGAGCTGGGTGGCCATGACTGTGGACCTGCGTGCCTTATCCATTTATTTGTTTGTGTACGAATTCTTTTTCCCTCCATTGCGCTCATATTTTTTGTTACTTTTAAAACATTGCTGTTATAAATTATTACGTTGTGCGATTATTTTATGTTATTTTGTTTATCGAAATTAGCATTAAATATGTGCGATAAAGTTCAAGAGATGACTTTCGTCTAATGTTAATTGCTTAATCAGTTTGGGGGTTTTTATGTTCTATGTTATTGACCCAGGGACATGCAATTTAGAGATTTTTATTTTTTATCTCTCAAACGAAGCGAAATATGAAAGAAATTCGGCAGACATAAAAGTTATATTTTTTAGCTGCATAATTCGAAAAAATATAAAAATTGAGAAAAGGTCAGTCGCACATAAACTTTTTATCAAAACTGGACTTAATAATTTCAATCTAATAGGGGCCAAATTAGCCTCTTAATACTACTGCTAGATTTAAACAAAATCGACTGAAAGTTTATCAAGATATTTAGAAAAAACCGATTTTAAAAAAACACTTCTCCTGAACTGTGGCCACGTACTTAAACAACACCCTGTATTGAATCGTTTATACCTCACTAAATAATCACCAAGCGGCAGATTGACATGATATCCTGGGCCAGCCTGTATAACGAAAAATATTTTTATATTGGAACGACAATATTTTACCACGTCAATTGTTTCATTTGATATTTATTCCTAGTACCACTAATAGCCGCCACGCCAAATTTCAGTCTGTTAAGTTTTCTGGAGATTCACGAAAATATTCTCTCCGAGTGCTGAACTATAAAACTTTATTGCTGTAAAAGCCGATACACGCGGGACAAATTCTGTGGTATGTCTGGGGAATAATTTACCGGCAGGTGTCGACGTATACGATCGTGGATACGACCAATAAACAAAAACCAACGGGGGAAGTTGGACCGCTCTTAAAGCTGGCTCACGATATTAATTTTATTGTTTCTTGCGCTCTTGGTTAATACGCTATTAAAGTTAACATGCTATTTGTAAAAAAATGGGTCAAGTGGACTAGGTTTGATGTCCCGATCGATAGCTCAGTGAATATGTGTCGAATTACAAAAATAGTTATTTATACTAAGTGACATATAAATCCGAACACCCAGTTTAAATTTTATTTTAATTAAATTTTCTACAAGTACTTAATGAAGCATAATAAGTAAATGATAAAAATTTCAAAATGATTGCACTGCTTTAAAGCCCTTTGACCTTTAATAGTGTGTGGATGCACCCTGATGTGCTACACATTCTCCAACGCGCCTAGGCATGCTTCTGATCAGGTGGTCAATGTCCTCCTGTGGTATCTCATTCCAGGCAACCACCAACTCCTCTCGAAGTGATTCTAGAGTCTGAGGAGGACGTTGCAAATTGAGCAATCTCCTACCCATCATATCCCACACGTGCTCAATTGGGGATAAGTCGAGAGATCTTGGTGGATATGGTAACAATGTGACATCATTATGTTGAAAGAAGTCTATTGTGACTCTTGCAACATGTGGTCGGGCATTATCTTGTTGGAAAGTTGGATCTGCCAGGGTGTCAAGATACTGTAAAAGATGGGGTTCTAGAACTTCGTGGATATAACGCTGCGCGTTCATGTTACCTCTGATAAAGATTAAAGGTGACCTGGAACCACAAGCTATAGCACCCCAAACCATAACTCCAACAGTGTGATGAACATGTCTTTCAACAAAAAACTGTGGATTCCTTCTTTCACCACGTCGCCTTCTAACCCTGGCACGACCATCGTGCATGCCTAAACAAAATCGAGACTCGTCACTAAAGACAATACTCTTCCATTCCTGATCCCAGAGTGACCGTTGTCTGCACCACTCAAGGCGATTACGTCGGTGTTCTCGAGTTAAAGGGAGGACCTAGTGTGGCCGGTATGAAAACAAGCCAAAACTTCTCATTCGTCGGTAAACACTTCGCATGCCAATAGGTCTTCCGTCTTCTGCAAACCATTCATTTGCAATGGACCTGGTAGTGGAGAAACGGTCCCTTAAGGCCAATAATCTTAGGCGGCGATCTTCACGGTCTGTTGTTCTACGGCGGCGTCCAGTGCCCCTTGCTCTTTGCGTACGGCCTTTTCGAAGCCATGCCTGACAACACCTAACCACAGTGTCTACACTTCTTTGCACTCTAACTGCAATTGCCCGAAAAGAAAGTCCAGCTTCCCGAAGTCCCACTATACGGCCCCTATCAAACTCACTAAGTTGACGAAATCGTACAGGTCTCCGTACTCTAGGCATCGTAACCGATCGTAAACGATGTCAAGAACCAAAATCCGCCAACGTTGATTCTTTACTGCGGCTGAAATATTCATTTTTAGAGCGTTAGTGAATTAAAAAAAAGCAGTATAAAAACTGGAATGTCCAACTGATAAGGCTGAAAATTTTTTCACTTGTCATTTACAGTAAGATAAATACATTCACCAACTTTTATTAAAATAAAACCATTTAAACTGGGTGTTCGGATTTATATGTCACTTACTATATTATACAAGACAGAATCTAGTATTTTTCCCGTGTGTAATTAATACACAACTTTTTTGTGACAGGGAAAACGGCGATTTAGTATTGAAAAATTATATTCTTACAATATTTTAGTCATACAATAATTATCGATGTGAAATTTGAATTTTGAAACTAGTAGACTATGTTGTACTTATAGCGACAATTACACCTTGCGTTGTTGAGGAATCTTTTAAAGTAATCAAATAGCTGTTCAATTTAATTTCGGGATTTGATTTGAAAATTGTGAACTTAGCGGTTGTTTAGACGTTATTTTTAATACTATAAAGTAAAAAGTGTCTAATTCCGAATTAGTAGAAGTAGCCAAATTAGCGGCAGAAAAATTATTGCCAGCTAAATGGCGGAAAATTTACGGCGTATTCAAGATC